TTTTGAAGGACCTGAAGGCGGAATTATACTTCTTTTTTAGGGCGCTGGTGTTTACATCCCGAGACGTTGACGCGTCAGCCCAGGCTTGGTAGCACTTCTGCTTATAGCATGATGCTATTTTACAGGAGCGACCAAACCTAGGCTGAGATTTTCCTCCGATGGGCACCACAGAGAGAGGAATAAAAAGTTTCATACCCAGAAGTACCACATCAGCGACAGAATCAGCAACAACGTTGGGATCGTCCGGCGAGAAGCAAACCCGCCCCCAAGGGTAGGATACAAAGAAAGACTGCATCCTATTCCAATCGGCTGACCTATAGTCCTAAATACGACGGCAGCCTGCAGAATGCAACCACGATTTCAGCGTGAGTGGCACCACACTCCGGACAAGACAATGGTCCGAGGAGCCTAAAGAGGCGTCGACGGAAATCTGATATCCGACCGGATGAGAGGTCAGCAGAAGGTCCAACAGGGAAGGTGTATGGTCCTCCACATCTGGAATCCGCATAGGCGAAGTAACCAATTGTGTCAGACCATATGCCAAGGCAAAATCATGAACAGATCTCCCCGCATGATCGTGTGTGGTAGTTAACCACAGCTTGGTGGGCGTTAAAATCGCCGAGGATCACGATATCTGCGGAGGGGATCGGCTGTAGCAAAGAATCTGTAGCTATTTGTATTTTTCTCATACACACACACGCACGCACGCACGCACGCACGCACGCACGCAGTATAGGAATATATTATTTATTTATTGTAAAAGAACATGAAATAATTTTATTTAAATCTGCAAACCAACAAATCTTATGAAATTCCTAGAAGTAATTCATTCACGCAACCATTAATAGCTACCCCCAACTACGATCTTAATTTTTTAAACAATTCTTTTTACCCAAAATTTTTACCTTTACCTCAAAAATACGCATATTTAAACTTTAGTCTGTATTTCGGTAACCACGTTTATGATCTAAAATTTATCATTACGCTCACATCATGATAAATAATTTGCATAAATAATATTCTTATGAGAGTAATATCGCAAGCTACTTGTAACATTGGGTCCCCTCTAATATAAATAATACCTAATATTGTTTACATCGCTTATCATATCAATCTTTGCACGGGATCTTGGTATCTTGGTATACCTGGGTATTAGTATTTTCTTATATTACACTTTTGAAGATGAAATTGAAAATATCTCAAGTACTTAAATTTAATCTTGAATGCACTGAATGACATATCTAGACAAATCATCTAAGTATGACGTACTTTTGTAAATAATATATCGATGGGATAAAGTACCATCTTGTGATCGTATTATCAAATAGCGTCATGTACTATCATTTTTGTAGTTGATATTGAACGTTATTTATTTTTTTAAGCCATGGTAGCAAAAAACCAGAGTATATACCCCGACTAAAGTAAAGTAAAGTAAAGTTACAGTCTATATACGTCCCACTGCTGGGCACAGGCCTCCCCATATTTCTGAGAGGGTTTTAGGGCAAGGAAGTGGCCGCCGCGCTGCCCCAATGCGTGTTGGCGAACTTCACATGTCTTCGAAATATTTTTTTCTCTTACCCATCAGATATGCAGGTTTCCTCACGATGTTTCCTTCACCGCCGAGAACGTGGTTAATCAGCACTTAAAATTGCAATTGACAATTTAATTGGTGCCGGCGGGGATCGTACCCGGGTTACTCGCGTTCTGTTATATTTACACCGAGCGTTAACCATCTGAGCAACCACGGCTGTACCCCGCCTGCGCCTATGAAATTGTTAACTGTAATTTCAAGTGCTGATTTACGACGTAGGTTTCCCACATGACCGAGAAATAAATTATTTCAGGGACGTGTGAAGTCCGCCAACATGCATTGAAGCAGCGCACCAGTCTAATTGATTCATAATTCTCCGACGTTATTTTTATTATTTTACGACTTTAATTTTTATTAAACCTTTATAATATATATACAAATATCCAAAAAGTCTTCTTTTTATAAAACAGAATATAAAATAGTCTTAAATAGAAGTGTGGAAAGATCTCGGAACCTCCAGTCGTTACTCCAGTTTAAACTTTCGCACAAGCGATGTGCTAAAGATTTCAGTCCTAATAAATCAGTTGGTTTTCTTGTTAATAGTGATTCTATTCATTGTAGTTACTCCGCTAGAAGCAAAGCAAAGAAGAATAATCGACATATATTTCTTTTACTGCTGAGAATGATTAAACAAATAAGCATGAGAACATGTTGAATATCCACCCTCAGTCTATTATTATTTTTAACAATAAACTCTTAATTAATTTTTCCGTTATCATTAGAAGCATATGAGATTTAACTAGAATCAACATTACCTTTGTGCAGATATGTAATTAATTTTGCATATTTAAATGATCAAAATGATATAAAATAGAATAACGATTAAAGTTATAAATGGAAATGGAAATTATACAGTGATCTTTAACAAAGAGAGAAAGTAGTATTTTTGTTTATTTATTTTAAAATCCTTATTGCGTTCCTTAGAAAAAAAAGGATAGAAAAGGCGGACACATAATGCCTAAAAGCATTCTCTACCAGTCAACCCATGGAGTGGCGAAAGTTTGCCGTAGGTGTAGCAATTATAAGAAAAAAAAGAAAAAGAATAGAAACTAAAATAATTACATATTATATGTAACAAAATAGATTATGTTATAATATTGTAAGTAAATACATATACATATCCGTATATTTACCTACATATGTTAACATGCATTCATAATACAAATATATTGATATGCTAATAAACATATATATACTTACTTAGATATATACATAAATATAAGATAATACATACATGTAAATACGACTATTTAAAAATATTGTAATTCTAACGATTCCTCAGTAAATGCTCGCGAATCATCTTTTTAAAGGAGTATTAATTTGTTACGCGCTTTTCTGATATCATCAGGCAAGGAATTACAAAATAAAAGTGCAGCGTGAACAGTGAAGGAGTTACCATAAAACCCAGTGAGTTGAGTAGGAATATAAATCGTGTTATTAAAGGAAGATCGACGAACCCTATCACGACAAGAAGAGAGATATTGAAATCGTTCTTTGAGGTAAGAAGGCGAATATAAGTCCTTTAGAATTGAAAAAAGAGCAACTAATATTCTGGAATTGCGACTTTACCTCATGGTAAGCCACTTAAGCTCAGATCTGTATTGAGAAATATGGTCATACTTACGCAGACCAAAAATAATAATAATACAGTTGCTCCAACTTCTTAAGAAGTTTTTGGGACAGGTCTAGGTCATACATCTGCATAATCAAAAATATGTAAAGAGTTTGGAGAGGTATGAGCTTAAACTTAATAGGAAATAAGTGTTTTAGATGATAAAGGGAACTAGCAATGACTTTCCGACTTAAATCAGTAACCTGAACTTTGCAGTTCACAGAGCTATCAGTATACAGGCCACGGTTTGTAACAGACTTACTAAATGGAATAATATTATGATAATAGATAGGCGGTTTCTTCTTGATTAGCCCTAGTCAGCAACCTTTTAATAGCCACTAAAATCGTTTGGAATTTTACTGGATTATACACTCCGTAGCGCGATTCACCAATCTTTAATTTTGTTTAAATTCTTGTTTAATTTGTAAATTCCATTATTTAGATCTTCAACGCCACATTGCATATAAAACTGCAGATCATTGGCGTACAAATGGTACGAGCAATCAAGATTATGAGCGATCAAGTTTATAAAAACTGAAAAGATGATAGAAGAGAGTATACCGCCTTGTGGTACGCTACTTTCAACTTCAGCCCAAGCTGAGAATTTTTAAGGTAAAACATTGGAATAATTCATAGTATACCCATTACATGCTGATTATATCCAAATCCATTTCATTCAATTCGTAGTGTAAGCATAACGGTTGAGTACTAAAACTCTAGAGTTAAGTAAACGTCCAGCCGTTCATAGACTATTATAATGATAATACGAGTACCTACATAGTTAATTCTTTAAAAATTGCCTGTCTATGTTAAGTGCAATGCGTTAAATAATCTTTTTACAAACTTTAGAAATAAATAAGCTGGAAAATTATGACAATCGTTATAATCATAAAATTAAACTAGTAAATTGACAACTGTCCAAAATATACGTTATGTATGTCCATAACGTATATTTTGGACTATGATAAATATATAATCCAATATCCTTTATATATGATATATATAAAGGATATTGGATTATGATAAAGGGTTATCATTAAGTATTATGAATTCGAGGACATACATAACGTATATTTTGGACAGCTGTCAATTTTGTACTTTAATTTTATCTCATGATTATCTTTTATCGCTTCGAGAATACATAACCTCATTCGTCTTTTTTCTTTCAGTATTATCCCTGAAACTCTTAAGCACTAAGATAAAAAAGTTGTCATGAATAGGGTTAAGATGAAATCGAAAGTTAATTGGATCCTATCTATAAACATAATTAATTGAGTCCTAAGTAATACGTGGTAGAGCCACGCTGTAGCTATATTATGATTGTAGCACAAATACGTCGACTCAACCGGGGAAGAACCACGCTCATACACGCACGCACATAATAACATCGTTAAATAGCGGGTGTAGAGAACCGGAGACCCTTTATACTGGAAACGAGGCATTCCATCTCAGTTCTCAGGGGTGACAACGCATCAGCGTTTTGATTATTAATTAAGTTTAAATATAGATGCATATGGCCCACAGCATCCACTTACCACCACGTGGATTGTATGTTCGTTGGTCACCCTTACTCTTTAAAAAGAAGTATGTCTGAAAAATTAAAAACTAGAGGTAAGACGCGTGTTGACTGTTACTTTACATCGTAATTTTAAAAAATTAAAAATTTTGTGATATACTAACAAACTAATATTATTAAATATTATTTACTTTATAAGTATTTTTCAGTTTGTGTATATTGGTAGTGAATAAATATGAATGCACGTATTTAAATTAATAGGTATTACATAAAATTATTACCTGCCGTAAGTGCCGCTTTGTTACCACAGTTGCGTTGACGTTTGATAATAAGCTGTCGTTATTCGCAATGGCCTCGCATTCGCTTTTCACCCTGCGAATAACAATGGAATCATGTAGTTAATAGTTTGTTATTATAGCAACGCTAATAATAGCCAAAAATAGTTGGAAGTTTTATATTTATAGTGGTTAACTTAACGAATGATATAAAAGAATGATTAAAATAAATTTACGTCCAAAGACATAAGCACTGTAACAGTAAAGAAAAGACTGAAACATACATTCCTATGAAAAGTATAATGTACTACCTATAATAAGTATAAATTAAAGATAGAGATATTTATTGTAATAAATATACCTAAGATAAGTATGTATATAACAAAAAATACATATTAATGTATAACAAAAGAGCGCCATTATCGCCAACAAACTGTTGCACATTTTGGCGATTTTTATTATTATTTTAAATGCGTGTATTTTATATTAATAAAGATTTAAAAAAAATATGCAACTCCATAATACGATGTTTAAGAATATTCTGATATCCTTGTTATATATGGAATCATGAATTAAAGTAACTAAAATTATATAAAAACACATTACTTATATAAAAAAATATATGTGTGCTACTTAATTAAAAAATCTAACTATTGTTAAACCACACCACAATACTGTAGCAATTATTAGTTAATCTATGACAATACCTATTTTACTCTATGAAAAACAATTGTCTGATATCTGTGTGCGTATCTGTTCAAGAAACAAATGCAGTGAAGTGGGCGCGCATATTACTTTACAAGTCTGCTTACAATCATTTCATATTTCAAATTACATAAATAAAAAATTATAACACAACAAGTGTTACTGTTAAGGACACTGTTAGCAATTAAATGAAAAACTGGTTTTCATTGTTAAAAACCTTAGAAATTCACTTTAAAGAAAAGGAGTAAACTTCGTCTAAGACAAGTTTAGCTTAATACGTTCTAAATGGTTTAAGGTATCATCCCCTTCTGGCTTTGCATCCATCTTCCAAACAAATTATGTAACCCGTATTATGTAATGACAATTTCTTTTAATTTTGACAACGTAAACATGGGTGTTATTATTTCACCACGCAGTGGCGTTACTAAAGCGATATAATGACGTCACTGGCGTTTGAATTTACATTTTAAAGAAACCATTTTTTAATTGTAATATTACATGAAAAATCAATTGTATTTTTTTTTTAATTTTCATTAATAATTTTTAGTAAACATTAAAAAAATTAAAGTAAAAAACATGCAACTTCTCTATTGAAAATTGGCAGTAAATTAAATAGTTTATATTACAAAAAAACGTGAGAAAGTGGTCACACCGCACTGTTGTGGAACGCGGCGAGTCCTCACCTTGCGAGTGAGTGCTGACTCATCTACACACTCAATACTATAGTTCATAAAATATAGCTTGATCTCTGCGACAGCTGTCAGTAAAATCACGCCTATGAAGTCCTGAATTTCTTAGTAGTACAGACAGTACCTGTCAATGTCATGCTTTATGGGCATGCACTAATTAGATCGGCAGCTGTCGCAGAGATCAAGCTATCTTTTATGAACCATAAATCATATTAAAATATGGACCATTACAAAGCTATGATTTTTGTCGCCAGCTCTCCTACTATATGCAACTGCGCCGTGTGAACTACATATTAATATTGATTGTTGATGATTGCAATCACGACTTCTATTTCCCTTTATTCCTAGAAGTAGTAATTTACAAATGATAGCCAGACGTCACAAAAACGAGACGGTTGTCAATTAGAATTTAGGTAATTCAAATTTATTAAGTTGATTCAAAGCATACGTTTTTAGTATGTTCACCGATTTTTCGGAAACGTTTGAACTGATTTAAAAAGCCCATTTTTAATAAATAGGTTTTAATTTAGGGTTGAACCATGTAAATTTAAAGAAAAAAATTGGACGACTCAAAAGGCTTAACAGTCAAACTTTTGATAGAGTCAGAACCGCCTTGAAGAACTAACAGATAATTGAAATAATGAAGTCTCAGAAGTGGATGTTTGTCTATGTCGATTTCCTTTTTCATTATAGTTTAATATTTGATGACACAAGATGATTTAGCATCATAATAAGATAATTATGAATCATTTATTATGACAACTGCAAATTAGTATTGTTTATACTATTAAGTATTGCTCTTTGTTTTTGAAATCACCTGTAATATGTATTTCGTATTAATATTAGTTAATGTTCCAACAAGTTCTAAAATTCTAGTACAATGATTGTAATACAAAGAGGGTGGCTAGTTAATACATATAAATAATAACAATTATAGTACATTGTTGCCACCACCACCAGACGGCCACAGAACGTACGGCTTTAGCTCAGTCATAAAAATTAAAAATGTTTAGATAAATAAAAATGACAATTAGTAATGATAAATTTCTCTTACACATTCATCCGTTCGCGACTTTTAAAAACCTTAACCGTGACGTCATCCAATCACACGGCTTCACAAAAACGTGTTTCTTGTTTCTTTATATTATTGCCTAAATTGCTTTCAAGGGGAAATCCCTAAAGTAGCGTTGTGTAAGGTTTTGTTATTTACGATTTCATTGCAAATATCCTAAAGAAAAAAATAGATATCTATATAATGAGCTTACCTTATTGTAGGTATTTCAAAGCAGAATTTTCAAATTTCCCGCCTATCATAAAAGTGAACGAAAATTTTCAACTTTTTAAGATTTAGACTCGTAATTTTTTCTAAGAATGTATATTGAGGCGGATGACTATGGTATGGTGCAGCGGAATACTACATTACGCGTGTCCCATCACGTACTTGACTAATTTTAACTACGTAAACCCAATCTTGATAGATGAGTAGGGCATTTTTTAAAAGCTATGCAAGTAAGAAAATAAATATTAAATAATGTTCAACATCCAAAATTGAAAACAGACATTCCTTTTTATTTAACAGTTCTATTTTTGTACACTTGTTTCAAAAAATATATGAGTGTATTTAATTATGTATGTGAATAAATTTCAAATTCTATAATTAAACTTTAAAAGTAAAAACTGATTTCAAAAACAAAAAAACATTACAATAATGTCCACATAATAGCTTCTGAAGTCGGTGCTAGAACTTTGTGTTGAGAAAAATTAAAGCCTTGACTTTAGATATTATTAATGTGGAAATTATTTTATTCTAGTTTCTTTTTGAAGTCAATTACATTTTTTAAAGTTTAATTATTTTATCCTTTTGAGTGGACTAAGGAATATAGAGGTTCAAAGTCAAGAAACTAGAATGTCGTTTAAATAGGTACATTAAAATCTGCATCAACTGTTTTTCCACTTTTAAGGATGTATTACCCGTTAACCTTTGCAGTCTACTGAAGTCCACTGCTGAACATAAGCCTCCCCATAGATTATCTCATAGAAGGGATATATTCTTAAATTTGGATAAATGGAATGTTTTCTTTAAATTTATTCGAAATTATTCGGAAAAGTATTAGGGGTGGCCTAATGTAAAACTTATATAAAGAAAAAAAGAATGATTTTAAATCAGCTCAGCCGTGTCTGAGAAATCGGTGAATTACATAAAGATAATTTATTAACGCAACTAATAACGGCATTAACACGTTTAGAAGATGTTAAAATTTGTTAGAGATTTTATCTAATAAAGTTGCATCATAGTTTATATTGACCTGACCGACCTTGTAGATTCTGTATTCCACAAATTCGTATTACTATTGACAAAATATTTCCTTGCCAGTGATTGTCAAACTGTTTTCCTCTACATTATTATTCTGTCTTTACATAATGAGCGCCTCTATTGCAGTCCAAACAATGAACACAAAAAATAAATAAACGCAAACATCTCTTGTGTTAATTAAGTTAACTTTAAGGCGTATGAAATTGGCGTTTTGTACAGGAAAAATATAAAGACTATTTTTTTGTGTAGAACATATTTAATTAATCTAGTAGTCTAAGTCTAAGTCTAAGTATGCATCATTGTTATCTATGCACTTTTGCCATCTCATAGGTAGTTCATTGATCCCTTTACTAAAAAACCATGGGGGCGAAAATCAACAAACTCTTTGAAGGCAGTTTTGACTGCCGCATCGGAGTTTAATTTTTTTCCTTGTAAGAAGTTGTCCGAATTCCGGAAAAAAGGTAATCTGTTGGAGCAAGGTCCGGAGAGTACGGCGGATGTCGCAGACATTCTAATTGTAGCTCATCTAACTTAGTGACTGTTTGTTGTGCAGTGTTAAGCAGCAGTGGCCTAGAGCGATTGACCAATCTCGGTTGTTTAGCAGCTAGTTCTTCCTTCATGGTTTACAGTTGCTGACTATATATATCTGCCGTAATCGTTTGGCTATATTTTAGAAAGCTGTAGTGAACGACACCGGCGCTAGTCCACCAAACACTCACAAGTAACTTTTTCTGAGTCAATTTTCGTTTAGGGCAGGGTTTGGCTGGGTCTCCAGGGTTCAGCCATTGCGACGAGCGCTTCCGATTATCGTACACTTTTTATCACAAGTAATGATTCGATTTAAAATCCCTTAATTTTTGTGTCGGTTGAGTAAACTCACACAGCAGTCGACGCGTGTTTGCAAGTTCGATTCACTCAATTCATGAGGTACCCATCGTTCAAGGTTTTTTACTTTCCCGATTTGCTTCAAGTGGATTAATACAGTTTTATCACTTACCCCGAAGCCTACAGCTATCTCCGGAGTGCTTTGTGATGGATCCGCTTCCATAATAGCCTTTAATTGTTCATTTTCCACTTTGGTCTCCAGCCGTCCACGGCGTTGGTTCTGAAGGTCGAAATTTCCAGAACGAAAACGTTGAAACCAAAAACGTACCGTGGTTTCTTTTGCGACACCAGCGCCGTACACATCATAAATCCTTCGAGCTATTTCTGCAGCACTGGTGCCACGGTAGAACTCGTACTCGTAAATATACCGATATTTTTTGTTTTCCATTGTGCGGTAGTAAGCGACGCCAAAGGAAAAATAATGAGAAAAAAACAAATGAATGGATGTTTTCAAAACTCAAATGCACCAGCTAAATTAATTTATAAATTTTAATTTGGAATTCTTAACCAAAAAGCGGATAATTCAGATCAAAGTGACCAGTACGACAAAACGCTAATTTCATATGTAAAGACCTAATATAAAGACAAATTAAAATAGGTAACTGCTTTTAAAATATGTCTTATCGTTTCTCATCACGTTAAAACATCATCGTCATATTATAATTCCTCTCAATTTTTTTTCTTAGTTTGGCAACTTCCTATAAATTCTGCCAGCGTCAAGTTTCATGAAAGTCACACAGAGTATTCGACTATAAAGTTTCCGTTTCCGTAGAAATGCTTACTTAGCTTTATGATACGAAGTTACATAGGTAGTTATTTTCGAATGAATTAACATATAATAGTTTTACGAAATTATTGCTTATATAATAAATAATAAAATGGATATAGGTAAGTGGTAAAAGTACTATAGTTTAATTTTATTAATGGATGTGAAGTCTAATAAAGTTTGTACAAAAGGAGTTTAAACTTAAACTTAACAAAGACTTAAGATTTATAGGACGAGGTAAGTGAAACGGAGAGGTTAGGGCAGTTAAAAAATTTATGATCGATCGTATGTTTTTTACATTTAAGTGCTGTCTACAAATTGTCAAAAGTCAACTGTCATATGCAATGTTTGTTAGCATGGCAATTTACACATATATAGTATAATATATTATATAAGTACACATTCAATATACTTACACGAGTTAGTTTTTTTTTTTTTTAATATAAAATTGTATTCTTTATTTTATAAAACAAATTATAAAAATAAAGAGACAAACAAACTATGTGTAAGTGGCTACTTAAGGCCATGGACACCTGCAGCAAACTTCAATTAAATAAAGCTACAAATGTATTGTCGTCTCTGATTACCTGTAATATAATTATTTTTGTTTTGTTGGGTTGATATCTTGTACACTAGGGTTTATTGCATTAAATTTTTATATTTTAAATCGCATACGGAAATATTAAAAGTAATAAAGATAAAAATTACTCACGAGGTAGTTTGACCATCTTCGGGTACCATGGCGATGATATTCACACTCATGTTTACTCGCATCATGTAGTTGATCCAGCATGCGAAAAATAGCATGATGGCAACACTGAGCCGTGCGGGTATAAAATCTGAAATATTAAAAAATAAATAAAGTTAAATTGAAATATTTATAAAATAAAATTGGAAATAACCAAAAAAATATAACGCAATATAATATATAATTTTCTGTCCTGTTCATAGTTTTCTTATCGGCTAGAATAAATATATCCTTATTTCATAAACGATGCGAATAATATTAAAATATTTAAAGGAATTATCGCTGTTATAATTAAATGCATAGTCTATAAAAATGGCCTTAATGCAGCCTTCTAACAGCTTTTATCCAAGTAACATTTTATCATTTTATTACTACCGGTTTTTTATGATAAGTATGTTTAAGGATAAGACGCAATCATTATTTGAATGTTAACTTACTTTACTATATACATAATATAAATTTATTTAATAATATATATTAAACTTCTATACAATGTTTCGGATAAAATTTTGTGTATACATTCAGTGTGAATCCTAAAGAATTCTAGCTTTATTTCGTATTTAATTTTTATTCACGGTCATGTTATAACCATATTTGGCGAGCTTTCAATGTCAGAACATCGGACTCGTCTTTGTACAGCATCGGTTTGTTGTTATTGAAGTTGAGGAGCAAACATTTGATGGCTCTGTATAAGTGCATGACCTAGAAGATATTATCTGAAAGTATTTTCTTGGAATGTAAACTTTCGAAATAATGTCAATATCAAGCTGACATTGACAAACTTCATTTGGTCATTGCTCACTAGCTACGACTGGGCAATTGGTATTTAATTAAACATTTAGGTGAGGCGAAAGCGAAAGTAGATAATCAACAGATCAGATGCATGAACTAGTTGTATTAACCGAAATATGTCAAGCTGTAGTTCAAGTGAAAGGAAACAAATAAGACGTGATGATTAGGGATAACTAGATGAACATAAATTGATTAATTACGAATTCATACATTCACGTACCAATTTTATATATAAAAATATTTATACTTTTTGAGTAATAAATAAAACAACATAGAGAATTATTACAAACTGTTTTATACAAATAAAAATATTATGTACATATCTGCAATCGATCGACGACTAAATGTCTCGATAGAAATTTTAAATCGGTATAGAAAATTTCAACATTTAAATTCCATGGGAATTATATCCAAATATTCAAACGTTACTCATTTTTATGACGCCGTTAAGTCTCGTTCTGTCTCTATCACTTTTATTCAAAATGACTGTGACACCATGAGACAACGATATTTTAAAATTGAGCAGATATTTTTGCCATAAAAGTGACATGCAAACACAATTCACATGATGATTAGTGGCGACTGTGTTTCTATCCATGATCAGAATCAAAATGCAGATGCGATGTCACCCGTGAAAATAAAATGAAATGCCTCATTATTAGTAAAAACGGGGTCCAATTCTCGTCACTTAACATTTGAAACGCGACAATATTTTCACACTTGAGTTGTGTTTAGAGTTCTAAGCGTAGTCCTTCCTTGTAGTTGAAGATTTATCAGATTCTTCATCGTCCAGAGCGATCGCAATAGCCGCTAATTCCAGATCGTCAAACTTCAACATGATTGTAGTCTAGTTATAACAGTAGTTTTGCTCGGACGAGTATACTGCAGAACGAGGCCCGTATTTACAATTTCAGGCACGGGACCGGCTCGGTGACCGTGCACGGCCAACCATCGGCTCGGACCCGACTCGGTGTAGCGTGAGTCAACCTTTTCTCGGGAGGCCCATAGGAAGGAAGCTTCGTAAGAAGCGTTTTATATTTTACCTTATTTTTATTGTTAATTATTATGTAAATACCATACAAATAATAATGTAAGTGCTATAGAAGAGTGGAGTCCCCTAACACAAGTTTTTATACTTAAATGGAGACCCCATCTCCGGTTATAATTTATGTATGATCATTTACTGAATAAACTAGTTTTATTTATTATAATAATTAAACCAATAATAAAAAAATTCACTACTTTTTGTAATACTTTATTATAAATCTAAACAAAAAATAAAAACCGTTTCAGCAGACAAACCCAAATTAACTTAGCGATAGCTGAAGTTGTGGCGTACATTACTACATTGCAGTACTTTCGGTTCCAGTGATACCGGTTAGTTTTACAAAAGTTGCAAACATTTGCTACGAAGTGGCAAGTTTCGATTCGACTTATTTAGTCTTTATTTTGTATAATATTTTGATAAAGACTAGTTATCAATTTTATTAAATTATAATTTATTCAGAATCGAGTTGGGATTGAGCTGAATATTTAAATCATTTGACAAAATCCACTACACATCTTAATGTAATTATTGTTATTCATCACAAACTAATTTAGTTGATATGAAATAAATTTTCAATAAAATATTTATTTTGTGTAGTAAATTATATTTTTCACTTCATGAACTATGCTGGTAACACTTGGTATTTTACGAAAATCGTACCTTTGACATAGGGGCATGCCTTGCAATGCCGCCAACTTTAGTTTAATAATCAAAGACATTAATATATAATATGTTGCACAGTTTTAGATTATCATAATTAACTAGGTTATATTGTATAGGTACAGGTATTACCCAGAATATTATGATATTCGATTATATTATTAATGTAACGTACGGTATAATGCGTTACGACACATCATTTAGGAAACGTCAAACTTAAAAATTGATTCTGAGTAATAAGAAAATAATAGAAGTTTTATATTTTGCTTTGTTTGAAAAATTCGAGTTTTAAAGTGATAAAGAACTATGTTGTGAAATGTAGATAACTACATAGCTTTTTTGAATTTATATAAAAGTTTATTATACATAATGTGAGTATGGTTGTACAAAGTTATTACTGATTAATGTGAAACGTCAAAAAGAATTTCTTAGATTTGGTTGAGTATAAATGCTTTTCTATAATAATATATTAATCTATTCTCATTAATAATTAATAAAAAAAAGTCAAAAGATTTTAAAATAATCCATATAATAAGGAGAAATCTTAATGTTGATTCGCGTTTACAAATCGACTCATCGTTGTTGTGACAGCTGACAGTGACACTACATAATAATATTGCCAATTGGTGGACTTCTCTTTTGAGTCACTCTTTTGCAATTGCATTTTATCAATTAGTGCCTGCGTTTTTTTTTTGTATCCCATTGTTTTCTACCACTTTCTTCTTTCTACAGATTTTCTACCTTATTTTACTTGTACCGCCTCAGCTATCGATATACCGTGCACGGAAAGTTTCGCTTAGCTACATGACTTGGACTCGTTATTTTGGATTACGGTCGGCCTATCGATTGGATATTGACACAATGGATCGTTGTTTAAATTGTTGTATAGCAGCTATGTAGTCGCTGCAATACAATAATATTTAAGATATATATAATGCAAAAAGACTGCGAGCTGGTGCGCTTATGTTGTGTCTATAATATAGTCCCTTATTTCAACAATTCGTAAATTGTGGTTACAATTTAAAATGAATAAATAATCAAAGTATTATTTCAAAGCAACATCTTTATATAATTTGCAAGTTCATGATTTTTGATTTAACTAACATGCCCCCACTCCATAAATAGACGATACATTAAGGTACGTAAGGGTAATATTATGGTCACCGTAAGCTTTGCCGCCCTACAAAACCAAAACTACGAGAAAGACAAAGACAAAAACACAAAGTTGTATACTATAACTAATATATAAAGAAAAAAAAAGCAAACAAGTTTTGGCAATAATTACGAACACTTCGAAAAATCAACAAAACTACTAACACTACACCATACTAAAATCGACTAAATGTTTACTTTAGTGTCAACTGTTAAAATGGCGTCGATAAAGCAACGCCCTTTTTAAGGTCATACCTCGAAAATTTGGTGGTTTTTCTATTTAACATATTTTTTTTAAGTTTTATAATTACAAACCAAATTTTGGTATATGATTTTTGACTGTATGACCTTGGATTGCATAAAAGGCAAACACGATATCATGTAATTATCTCGATAGAAAAAAATTGCAAATTAGGCTCTAATTATTTACATTTTTCGATGACACCACAATATTCTTACGAATAGTTTGAAGGAATTATTTTTAAGGCATAGTAAATAATCATATCTAAGTTATCAAAAACCCGTTTTTTAATCCATAACGAAGTTTTGTTAAAATAAATAAAAATGTTATTTGGCGCTCACTTAGTTTTTTTCCGAGCGCTTCTCGGTATGGCTATCTCATAATTTGCGTACTATGAGGTCGTTGCATCACTTTCATTTTAACACTCCCTCAGTCATCCATTAGCTTCACCGACAAAGGAATAAGCCCCCAAAACTTCGATTAATTTTCAACGTATCCTCTTAACCCTTTATTATTTAATTAACTGATGAAGAGCTATCGTAACACAAAGCCATCTATGCAAAGAAGGCTGTAGTTTTTGAGTTATAAGAATGTGACCATATTAACCGGATGACCCTCCCTCAGTCTTACCTTCACGTACTATAGTATGTATTTAGAAATATTAAACATCAAAAAATTCTTAAAAAACTCTCTGAGAACTTCTTCAAAGCCTCAGAGTCGCACCCAAACCATTTAATTCGTGAGGCAGCTTCTTATGCAGCCCCACCCCCCTCTCGCTATCGTGTCCGCAGGCCGAGAAACTCTCTCTCGGACCCGCCTAATAAACTTTCAAACGACCTGAACTGTCTTCTGGCGGCTCAGGCCAACTCTAATTAAATAAAATTATTGTAATATCTGACATTAATTTGCCTTCGTAGGCACTCCCTCAGCGGCACTTAGCCGCCTGCGCCCTCTTTTCCCAAAAGAGGGTCGCTCATGATAAGGCACAATAGAGCTTAATCAGCCGGTTGCCTGTCCCTAAAGGCGGTTTTTAGGGGGTATCACTTAGGGTCCCCGGTAGGACAGTGAGTCCCCCATAACCACGATAGACCGGCTATCGTGGTATGCGTAATGCATTTTCCGCCTCCCTACGTACAGGGTAGCCCTTTAATTGCTTCGGGCGCAAAAAAAAAAAAAAAAAAACATCAAAAATTATTAG